TTATTGCTGCCAGGTGAGTCTGCCTTACAGGGTATGCCTACGTTATTGTTGTCAGGTGAGTCTGCCTTAAGGGTATGTCCACATTATTGCTGACAGGTGCATCTGCCTTACAGTGTATGCTTACGCTATTTCTGTCAGGTGTGACTACTATACGTGGAATGCCTACGTTATTGATGTCAGGTGACTCTACCCTGCAGGTTATGCCTCAGTTATTGCTGCCAGGTGAGTCTACCCTACAGAGTATGCCTCAGTTATTGTCGTCAGGTGAGTCTGCCTTACAGGGTATGCCCACATTATTGCTGACAGGTGCATCTGCCTTACAGCATATGCCTAAGTTATTTCTATCAGGTGTATCTACCATACAGGTTATGCCTAAGTTGTTGCTGCCAGATGTGTCTACCCTACAGGTTATGCCTCAGTTATTGTTGTCAGGTGAGTCTGCCTTACAGGCTATGCCTACGTTATTGCTGACAGGTGCATCTGCCTTACAGTGTATACCTACGTTATTACTGACAGGTGTGACTACCCTACAAGGTATGCCGTCCACACAGCACCAAAGACAATGGAACAAATCCAGGGAGAGAAATGGATCAGGCCTCCAATTCATGAAGAGCAATGCAAAGAGAAGATGCCAAGACAGCAACTCTGACAGCAAATTCAGAAGACAGGAGAGGTTCCTCAAGTATGAGCTGCATGAGGATTCAGGACAGGGTTCTTCATAATCTTCTGCTTTGCAAACATTCCCCTGGCCAACAATTGATGACTTTAGGAAACTGACACTGGTGTGTGGGTGTCATGGTGGTGATGAGAATGGCCAATGCTTGGGTTCGTAAATCTGACAGTCAGAAACAGAACCAGATGACCAAGCGGGGTTTGAAAGGAATTTGGCCCAGGCAGGTAAAAGGACCACAGGAAACATTAAGAACTGAAAAATAGTCCTAGCTTTCGCATCACAGCAAGCACAATGGAGAAATCTGGTGGTGGCATCCATATCAGAAAAGGTTCCCTGAAACCATATAGTGCAGAGAGAGGGAGAAAAGGGGACAGAGGAACACCACAAGCTCCGTGAGGGAGCTGTCCCCAGGTGTCCCTGGTGTATCACAGGCATTTGGATTAGGATGTACAGCGGGTAGTGCATGAAGATTGTTGCCCAGAGGAATGAATGTCCATTCCCAAGAACCCAAGGAGGGGTTCTTACCGGGGCAGCTCCCCTGAGGAGCTTCCAAGAATGCAAATGCCTGGGCCTAACCCTGGGAGATGCTGAATCAGGAAGCCAGAGGTAGGGTCTTTATTTTTAAACAAAATCAATAAAAGCTGAAGGAAACCAAAGTATTTCAGTCTAATATGGGTCTTTCTTTGACATATTTTGAGGTGGCCTTTCAAAGGGACTGCCAACAGAAACAGCTCTGCAAAGCTGGCTTGGGCAGGGGAGAGTTGCATCTGGATAGAATCTGCCTCGATGCAGCCTGGCTTCCTCGGAGCCCCTCCCTTAGACCTAGGGATGATTAACTGAGAGTCTGATACCTTTAAAGACCTGAAACCTTCACCTCTTCTCTCTGAGCGCTGCTCCCTGTGAGGTTTCAGCTACACAACAAGACCACCTTTGCTAGCCAGACTTCCTTTTCTCTTCCTCTCATAACTTATTTCCCCACCAGAGCCTGTTTTGTGCCATGCTCTCAACTCCCATTTTTTTGGTAACCGTAAGATACTACATACACTTCTGAACCCAATTGAGGGAGGGGTTGGGGTAATCACCCTGATTCTGTCCTTTGCACACTAATACCTTTGTACACCTGTTCTCTTATTAATCTGCCTTTTGCCAGTTAATTTTCCAGGAAGCCTTTTTCAGAGGCAAAGAGGATGGTTTCCCTTGGTCCCTACAAAACCAACAAACACATAAACGTGTGCCATTTTGACCTGTTGTCAGGGTTTCAACCTTGCATTAGAGTTTTGGTGAACCCATGTTTTCTTTTCTAGGATTCCTAGACCCTGTACTTGTGCTAACTTCAAGTTCCTTCGGTGGATTTTAGTTCATCTCAGCTGTGCTGAAGGAGAAACAAGGCCACGCAGTCTTGTCACCTCTGCTCCAGGTGTGGACAGCGTGGAGATCATCAGGTCAATGCAAGATGAGGACTTGGGCCAGGAAGCAGAGAGAATGCTGGGCCGCTGTCCTTTTCTTCACGGGAGGGTGTTTAGAGAGCATTCTCTGGTGACAAGGACTCTCTTCTTGCCCCAACCCTAGTCAGGCTCCCCTGAGCTTCTTTTTCAGTGAGGCCCTATTTTGGGGTGTGTCGCAAGACCCCAGTTTTAGCAAGAATCCTGTTACCTCAGTTTAGCCAGAATCCCCCACCCTTGATGTCTGTCACCCTCAGCTTCAATATCTGGCCAGGTTCCTTGTCCCTCACCATCCCCAAGGAATTTCTGGCCACCCTGAGCTGCCTTCAGCAGGAATCCTTTTAGGTTGGTTGAGTCAGAATGCCCCTTACCCTGGGCACTTCCTCCTAGTGATCCTCCATCCCCCACCCCAACCCTGCTTCTTGGCTTTCCTTTAGCTGCACACTCCTGTTTTAAACAGTCATGCCCAGAATTGTGTGGCTACATGGTGCAAACAAACACAAATCTAGTTTGTGAAGTCGTATGGCTTGCTGTTCATAAAACAGTCATCTCTACATATTTGTGAGAATCACATTGCAGTGGTCCCTGTTTCAGCACCTGACTGAGATTATTCAAATCAAGTAAACTCTTTACCTGAACTTCAAATGTTCATAAAAGCCTCTAGCCATTTCCCTGTTGCAACAGGATAATTTTTTTTTTCCACTGAAGAAAATCTGTGATTTTTCTTAGTCTGAACATGAGGCATGTGAAGAGAAACACTTATGGAAATGTTTGGCGATGATTAATTTGCATCATTTTTTTCCCCAAGAAGAATTTTGTTGGACTGAGTTATGCAGAGCAAAGGGCTGTTCACTTGCCCAGTGGGTCCCCGAGTCCCCCAGCGAGTCTTGAGTAGCTGTTTCTCATGGAGAGGAGAGGGTTGGTAGATTCCTGGTCACAGAATTTTATCTTGGCTGTCAGTGGAGAAGACCAAGAAGCAGAGAAGGAAGAAAAATGTCTCTGCCAAGAAAAGAATGGGTCAAACCAAAACTGGGCTGGATTTTCTTGTGTTGCTTGTTACAAGGTTGTTCTAGTGGGAAACGTAATATCTGAGTTCTGAATTTCCCAATTCTCCTTGACTGTCTACATAACCCTTCATTCTTAAGAGACTGGCATCTGATCACTTTGTCTTGTTTTGAAAATGCACTGTTTATTTTCTGGATGGATTTCTAAAGACAAAGGGAGAACATTAAAGTTTCATTTTTTGTATGTCTATTTGGGCTATCAATTTGATTTTTTTGAACATGCCCCATAGTAAAATGACAGATGTCTTTAACTGGCATCACAACTCAGCACAGTTTTAAATAACAAGTAGGTCAACAGTAAAGTATAGTACTTGTTTGTGAGTCGGTTTTTCCTCTAGTCCAGTAATTTTCTTCAATATATTTTCTAATTAGCTTAGGGATTGCAGTTTCAGATATACAAGTTATGTAAACATATATATAAACAGATATAAACATCTATATAAACATATATACATACATATATCATATATATATGAGATAAATATCAGGTGGCCCAGAAAGGTTAAGACCATAAGTGGTTTAACTGCTGTTACCTTTGCTTTGTAGTTAGCGTTGGAAGTTGAAAATATTTCCCACCCGTGCTAGTGACAATTTGCCTCAAGGTTAAACAGGTGAAGAGGAGCTTCCAGAGGCTAGCTTTTAGTGAAGGGCAGGACAGGCCCATCTACTGTCAGAAACAGACATTTCTCCCTTGTCCCACCCTCATTTAGGAACTCATGCCCACCACGTGGATAATCCAAAAGTGATTCAATAGCGTTAAATCCAGCCGCCCTCTCTGGACAATATCGCTGATTCACAGTGACCAAGGGGCTTTGATGGCATGCTAGAACTGTCAATCACCAACCTGGATCAGGGAACGTGCTCTGAGTTGCACAGGTTTTAATACCAGCTGGTTGAAAGGAGGCTCCTAAAATGGGGCTATTAATTTTCCAGTCATTCCATGTACTGAAGTTCTCCCCAGGGTTCTGAAGTTCTCCAAGGAAAACACCAGGAAGCAAGTATGCCAACAGCACTGCCGTTCGGGGAATATTGTGTGACAAGGACTTTCCTGGCCTCCTGAGCAGCAGGTTTTTCCACTGCATTTCAGTCATTTCTGGAGAGCTGAGGGAGGGTAAACTTCATGAACCTGACCTAGAGAAATGGCAGCGGCTCCTCTGAGGTATAGGCAAGGACAATGCTCCAATGTGAAGATCACAGAAGTTTTTCTCTGACCTCCTCCTGCTGTTCTGTCTCCCGTTCCCCCGAGGTGCCACCGAAACTAGACTCCCTCTTCCTCGAAGTGGGTTGTAGAAGGCAGAGCCCCTTTCCCAAAGCCAGCCATGAAACATAAAAATATTACTCTAACTTTGGCAGGCCAAGGCAGGTAGATCACCTGAGGTCAGGAATTTGAGACCCACTTTGACCAACAAGGTGAAACACTCTCTCTACTAAAAATACAAAATTAACTGGGCATGGTGGTGCATGCCTGTAATTCCAGCTACTTCGGAGGCTGAGGCAGGAGAATTGCTTAAACCCAGGAGGCGGAGGTTGCAGTGAGTCAAGATTGCACTGTGGCGCTCCAGCCTGGGCAACAAGAGCGAGACTCCATCTCAAAAAAAATATTACTCTAACTTTCCCTCTGCTTTTCTGTGTAAATGCTGTCTATTAAATAATTATTTGCCCAGCTTCTTTGACTGTAGGTCGTAAGAGCCCCATTCCACAGAGGGCCCTGCGCCACAGCAGCAAGGAGGGAGCGTTGCTCAGGGAGGCTGCGGAGAATCTGGACAGTCAGGCCTTGCTGGGGGCCCCGCTCTGTCCATTAGCATTAGGTCAGGCCCTTCTTATCCCATCCTATTTCTACACAGCTGTCCATACTTTGTTGAACCTAAGAATAAACGTGTGTAATTTCCCCTGTATCTTTGGGTCTTCATTCTGAAGGTTTCTGTTTGTACATGTTAAATACATTTTTCCAAATAATCTGTCTTTTTTGAGTTGAGTTTCCAGTGAAACTTCAAAGGGCCAAAGGGAGAGGATGAAAAGCAAATGACTATTTGAAAGGTAAAGAGGCTGAGACGGGTGCATCACCTGAGGTCAGGAGTTTGAGACCAGCCTGGCCAACATGGAGAAACCCATCTCTACTCAGGACCGAGGGCCATCAGAGTCAAGTCTCTTGTCTTTCCTTCCTCCCTTCCCTGTACCCCCAACTGTACACAGCTGGACACAGGCCAGGGTTTGGTAAGAGCATCTGGTTAGGGAGGGTAGCTGGGAAACAGTATGTGAGTTTGTGTGAATATGTTATGAATTGAGTTGAGAAAAATCTTTCCCTGTGCAAGTATATTTACTCGTGTGTGTGTGTGTGTGTGTGTGTATATATATACACACACATACATATATATATACACACACATACATATATATATATATACACACACATACATATATATATACACACACACACATATATATATACACACACATACATATATATATACACACACACATACATATATATATATACACACACATACATATATATATATACACACACACACATATATATATATACACACACATACGCGCGCGCACACACACACACACACACAAAATTCACTCCTAGCCTGCCCTTGCTGCAGGGACTATGCCCTTCAGGATCCCTCTGCCTGATGCCCTCTCCCCTCAGCTGTCAGCAAGGCTCACTTCCTCTGCTCCTTCAGGTCTTTTCTCAGATGTCTCTGTCTCACTGAGGATTCCCTGCTTCTACTGTTTGTAATTTCATTTGTCCCTACACTCCTTCCATACTCTAGCCCTTTCCCTGCTTTTATTCCCCTTCACAGTGCTTCTTGTCATGCAACATGGTCCTCATTCTACATACTCATCAGTGTATTGTCTATTTCTGTCTCCTGGAATGTAAGTTATATGAGGGCTTAGATTTGTATCTGTTTGGTTTTAGTGCCTTCAATAATATTCTGCACATTATAGCTGCTCAACACATGTTTATTGTTGAATGAAATATACTTTCATATAATTCTGTAATATGTTCCTCAGAGGCCATTGTAACACCTTTTTTGACACTCCTTCCACCCCATCTTCCAGAATTGCACATGTGCTTCTGTCTCCTTGAGTGCCATGCTGTATTATAATTGCCATTTGCACTCTCTCCCCTTGTGTTGGTTTTAAGCTGCTAAGGTTATAGTGATTTGTGTGCAGCCAGACAGAACTGAGCTAATGTCTCTGCTTGGATCCTCAATGCCCTGCAATGAAGGCACAACACATAGGCAGGGTGTCCCTGAAGTCTCAGTGGGGAATGAGCTCCTTCCAAGGTCATGGGATCCCTGGCAGAATCCAGCTGCTTCTGAGCTGTTGGAATGAAAGCCTCAGTTTCTCGCTGGCTGGTGGTCTGAGGCCCTGCTCAGTTCTTCTCCATGTGCACCCTTCAACAAGGTCTTTTTTTTTTTTTTTGAACAGAGTCTCACTCTGTTGCCCAGGCTGGAGCGCAATGGCAGATCGTGAGGTCAGAAGTTCAAGACCAGACTGACCAACATGGTGAAACCCCGTCTCCACTAAAAATATGAAAATTAGCTGGGCGTGGTGGCACACGCCTATCATCCCAGCTGCTCAGGAGGCTGAGGCAGGAGAACTGCTTGAACCTGGGAGGCGGAGGTTGCAGTGAGCTGAGATCGTGTCACTGCACTCCAGCCTAAGCAATAGAGTAAGACTTTGTCTCTGAAAAAAAAACAAAAAAAGTAGAAGAAGTGCATTCACAATGGTGCAGACATCAGCAGTTTCACTTACAGACTCACATTCCTGTTGGGTCAGAGATTGAGCCAAATGAGGACTCTAGGGAAGCTCCTGTTTTATACCTATTCCTGCAATCTGGCCTGCCTTCCCGATTTAGGGAAGATGTGTTCCTCTGTTTGCCTGCATATTACAGAAAATAGCCTGTGAAAGAATCTGCAAGCATGACTTACAATTGTAACTTAGCATATCGAAAATTTCTGTTGAGGCCATCAATGGCTTGCATGTCCTCTGGAGTCAACTCAAAGTCAAAAACCTGAAAGGAAGAAAACACATTAACCTGTCCCCAGGACAGCAGCTTCTTCCTGGGAATACACGGCTTTCAGAGGGCAGAGGCAAGGATGGCAATATGGGAAGTATTTCTGTCCTCACTGGCCTCTAGGTGGGACCTCTTTCCCCTGAGACCTCTTCCCCCTGAGTTCTGCTACTTTTCCATCCCACCTCCCTCCTGCTCTGCTCCACTTCTAAAAGAAAGACAACTTATCAATCTTAGACATTTCTAGAGAATTGCTTGAGACAGAAAAAATAAATTCTTTATCCTAAACAAAGGCAAATCTGGACAAAATACCTGCTTCCTTGACTTGACCACACTTGGTGAGGATTTCCCTTACTCACTTCCCCTGGAACTTGACCCAGTCTTTGACTGTGCAAGCTTTGGAACACAAGACAACCTTGCTCCAAGAATCTGTTGGCCTTAGAAAAGCATTTCCTGATCAATTGTTCCACCATACCACTGTCTCATTGCAGGCCCCCAAATACTATTTCCAGCTACTACTAAATAGCACCAAATACTACTTCCTTACAACAACAACAACAAAATAACTTTTTTGAATATATTTATCTTACTTAAGCCAAGAGTTGTTTTTATTTGAAAACATATAGACACATAACCCCTGATGAAGAATCCCTTAATAGCAAAGAAAAGAGATATTTGGTTTAAAAAAATTAAGTTCATTATTTCATGCAGAAGACAGAAAACTCAGAGCCCTATCTATCCATCCATCTATGATCTACATATCTATCTAATGTCTCTCTCTCTCTCTCTCTCTCTCTCTCTCTCCCCCCCCCATATCTGCCCATTATCTACCTATCCACCCATACATTTACCCATCAGTGATTCATCTTAAAATATACTCCAGAAGTGACATGGTTGTCACAGGGATATGTATTAACATGTTAAGTTAAATTGAAAAATAAAATACAGTAAGATTTTTTTCTATATTGTAGCAAGATTTAGATTTGCCTATTTGATTTTAGTATAACTTTAAAAATTTAGAGCTACAAAATTGTGAAACAAATACATTAGAAAATATGCTTCAAATATCATCCTTTGTAATAACTAAACTCATGTTGATTTTTCCAGCTGCCATCTTTACATGGACAACAGCATACATAGTCTTTAAAAATTCTTTTAGAATTCAAAACAAAGTAAATTAAAGACCACTGATTGATCTAATGGATTGGAGTGTATATGAGGAAGTCTTCAGGCAAAATCTTTACTCATTGATTTACTATTAATAATGTGGTCAATCTATGAAATTATACCTAGCTTCCCACCTGCCTGGGGCACTGCCAGGGGAAAGGTGATAAAAGATGACCCAGAAGGAGTCACCGCATTTAGGGTCTCACAGTCCAGAGAGCACACTGACATCTTAGAGAAAAACAATATTAAGTTAAAAGGGAAAAGACTCACTAACAGAACCACGCCAGGCACTATTGTGGTGAAAAATGTGCTACGTTGTTCCAATGGTTATGTATGTATGATATGTAACAAAGCAGGTAATCCTGTTTGAGTTTGATCATAAAATACAAAGGGAGATTTGTCAGATAGAGATGGTGAAGGAGAGAAATGAGGGTTCTTAAAGTTATTTACCATGTAGAACTCCTGAAACTCATGAAAATGGTGGAGTTGAAATTTGCTTAGTGTCACACAACTAGTGAGTGGCAAAGTCAGTCCTAGAGGTGATAAATTTTAGAACTGTGAATCCAGTGATCTCTCTTCACACTCTTCCATCCTGTCCCTCTCCCTTAGCACACAGAGGAGAGAAGCACGGGCATGAATGACATGTGGCACATTTTCCCGTGGAAGAGAGATGGCCCAGACCAGTGACCGTGGCTCACTTTGGAGCAAAACCACTTGACCTGTACCTGGAAGTTCTCTTTGATTCTCTTCTCAGAGAAGCTCTTGGCCAGGACCACAACTCCTCGCTGCAGCTGGTAGCGCAGGGCAACCTGGCCTGGGCTTCTATTGTGTTTCTTGGCAATGGATTTCAAGGTTGGCTCCTCCAAGAGATATGGGCTATCTGGGTCCATCCTAGAGAAAAACAACAGATATGAAGAGTGTAGATGAAAACTCTAGAGTGTGCTACCCCTTTTGCCCAAAGTCCCAGACAACGAGAGGAGAAGATACAATATAGTATGTTTCGAAGTGTCTCATAAATATTCATAGAGATTCATTTGCAATTGTGGCAAACTGGAAACAACTAAACTACCCATCAATAGGTGAATGGATAAACAACTTGTGGTGTGCATGTCCATACAATGGAATATTTTACAGCAGTAAAATGGAAAGAACAGAGACATGCAACTACAGGAATGAATCTCACAGACAGGTTGAGCAAAAGAAGCTACACAAAAGAATATATATGACTTCTTTACATAAAGTACTACAGCAGACAAAAGTAGTCTAAGACTGAAAACATTACGAACATAGTTGCCTAGAGGTGGGGAGGAATTGTCTCAGAAGGAACACAAATTAACATTTTTGGGAGAAAGTTTCTATATCATGACAATAATGTGGATTACAAACTACATTCATTTATCAAAATTGTACAGCTAACATATATGCATTACAGTCTATGTAAATTTCACCTTCAAATCACTTTGAAATTGGAGTGGGGTTGGGAGAAGGCAGATATACAAATGAAACAGCAGGGAAGGAATGTTGGTGACATTGAAGCTCTGTGGTGCTGCATGGGAATTCACTACACTGTTGTGTTCACTGTTCTATGTTTGACTTTATCCATAATGAAATGCTAAAAGTTTCTTAATCGATAGAGTTGCTGATATAAATTAACTCTTTGATACTCTTATAACCAGTTTGGGTCTCTGTGAGATGCCAGGGCACTGTAGGCGACTAGAACAATGTTCTTGGACTTGCAGAACTCCAGGAGTTTGCTCTGGTTGAGGTAAGGGTGACATTCCACCTGTAATTTTTCAAGACCAAAAGGTGTCAGAATACATGAGCGAATAACCACATGTAAATTTTAAAATGCTTTGAAGGAATATCTAGTACTATATTACTATATGTACTATGTATTTCAGATTGGTCATTTTCCCCATGCACCTTCTGAAATGCCTTCAAATTCCATCAGCGGTCGTACTAATACGATAACTTACGTATTCTTTTTTAATTAGTGTTTTTAAATGATTAAAATCTCTTGTGCCCAAATTATAGTCTCTACATGACATTTCTACTCAGAGAAACCAAGATTTCTTAGAAAAATGGCTAATTCCATTTCTGACTGGGGAAGCTACAAGTTCAGCCTAGAACAGCTTACATTCTAAATGGCAAAGAACATAAAAAAAATGAGGCAAGTCAAAAGACCAAGAAGCTCATTTGAAAAGTCTCCTGCTGGTCAAAATGATGGCAAGTTGAGCATCAAAAGGAATAGTAAGTACAATGGTTGGGGAAATGACATATTTGTTAAAATTCACGAGTTCAAATGACGTTAACCAAATGTGATCAAATCTTTAGCTCTAACTTTCAATTTACAGAAAGTACAAACGGAACATGTTAAATTGTATCACATCACTGGATCAACCAGTATATCCTATACTGAAGAAAACTTTACAGGAATAAAGCCTTAAGTTTTCATTAGTAAATTGAAGGAAAGAAAGAGGCAGAGTGAGAATGAGAGCCACGGAAGAAGAGGAGGAAGAGAAGGTAGAAGAGCAGGAGGAGAAGAAGGAGGAAGAGAAGAAACAGAAGAAGACAGAGGAGGGAGAAGAGGAAGAGGAGGAGGGAAGTAAAAAAAAAAAAAAAAAAAAAAGAGCAAACTTTAATAGAGTGATTTGGCCAGCCTCAGTGGCTCAGACCTGTAATCCCAGCACATTAGGAGGCCAAAGCGGGCAGACTATGAGGTCAGGAGTTTGAGACCAGCCTGACCAACATGGTGAAACCCCATCTCTACTAAAAATATAAAAATTAGCCAGGTGTAGCAGTGCATGCCTGTAATCCCAGCTACTCAGGAGGCTGAGGCAGGAGAATCGCTTGAACCTGGGAGGTGGAGGTTGCAGTGAGCTGAGATCATGCCACTGCACTCCAGCCTGGATGACAGAGTGAGACTGGGTCTCAAAAAAAAAAAAAGAAAAGAGTGATTTATGAGACATATCATCCAATTGCAATGTATGGGCCTTATTTCCACATCAATTTAAATGAATCAACTGTAAAAATATGATAAAATTATATTTCAGCACTCATGATATTTAGTAATAACAAGAAATTATTGCTACCATTTCAAGTGGTATAAAAAGATTCTGGCAATGTTTAAAGATTTAGAGATTTTTTTAAATATTTTCAGATAAAATGATATAATGTCTGCTTCAAAATAATACGGAGGTAGAATTATCTATGTAATATGTTTGGTTGTGGGATAATTATTGCTTAAGTGTGAGGATGGGTACATAAAAAGTAAATGATTATAACGTGAGGGGATATTCAAAAAATTGATTGAAAATGTGCATTATGTAGAAACTATACATGGATTTCAAAAAAAATGTACCAAAATAAACTTGTACTAACTTGTTATGACATGTCTAAACAGGATCTAGTTTGAGGTATTGAGAAAGATAAGACAACTCCCCTATCAGAGAAACATGAATTCTGCTAAATTGAAGAATAAAAATCAAATTTATTGTGAAGCATGGGTGGAAGAATGGTGAAATTATTGACTCTTTACACAAAATTTATGGGCAAAATCCCCTAAAGAAATCAGAAGTTCACAAATGAATAATTGATTTAAGAAAGAACAAGATGATGTTGAAGATGAAGCCCACAATGGCATACCATTCACATCAATTTTCAGGAAAAAAAATGTATCTTACTAGTGCCCTAATTAAAGAAGACCAATGATTAACAGCAGAAATGACAACCAACACCACAGATATCTCAACTGGTTCAGTTTACACTACAGTGACTGAAATACTTAAGTTGAGTGAACTTTCCAATTCATGGGTGATGAAACTGTTGTGGCCCGATCAGCTACAGACAGGAGCAAAGCTTTCCAAGGAAATTTTAGGTAAGTGAGATCAAGATCCTGAAGCATCTTCAAAGAATTGTAAAATGAGGTGAAACATGGCTTTGCCAGTACAATCCTGAAGACAAAGCAAAATCAAAGCAATTGCTACCAAGATGTGGAAATGGTCCAGCCAAAGCAAAAGGAGATTGGTCAAGAAAAAAGGTTATAGCAAGTTTTTTGGGATGCTTGGGGCATTTTGCTTATTGACTCTCCAGAGGGCTAAAGAAGAATAACTGTTTTGAGAAAATTAGCCAGTTTTAGTATGAAAATACCCACAAAAGTCTTCACCAGGGCCAGGCGCGGTGGCTCACACCTGTAATCCCAGAACTTTGGGAGGCCAAGGTGGGCTGATCACAAGTCAGGAGATCAAGACCATCATGGCTAACACGGTGGAACCCCGTCTCTACTAAAAATACACAAAATTAGCAGGACATGGTGGTGGTCGCCTGTAATCCCAGCTACTTGGGAGGCTTAGGCAGGAGAATGGCTTGAACCCAGAAGTTGGAGTTTGCAGTGAGCCGAGATCGCACCACTGCACTACAGCCTGGGTGACAGAGCGAGACTCCATCTCAAAACAAAACAAAACAAAAAGCTTCACCAAAGATTATTTTTCACCATACCAATGCTCCTACTCATTTTTTTCATCAAGCAAGGGCAATTTTGCAAGAATTCTGACAGAAAAATCATTAGTCATCCACCTTACGGTCCTGATTTGGCTCCTTCTGAGTTCTTTTTGTGTCTGAATCTTTAAGAATCTTTAACAGAGACTTTTTTTTACAGTTAATAATGTAAAAAATAAAGAATACATTGACATGATTAAATTAACAGGACTCTCAGTTATTTAGAGATGAACTAAATGGCTACTATTTGCTATTAGTTCACATACTTAGTTCATATACTCATAAGCATATAGTTATGCTTTAAAAACTATACTGAATTTGGTAAAGCTTGTGTTGAAAAATAGTTGATATCTTTATTAACATCTTTTAATTCCATTTTTCCATGAACTTTTTGAACTCATATTCTCTATATCTTTTTTAAAATTTTACAAAAATAAAAACTTTTAAAAGTAATAAAAGAAATATTTTCATGTTAGATA